TCACATACTAGGCAAACACTCTCCCACCAACTTGCATCCCAACCATTTTTTAATTTTTATTATATTCAAGTATTTTGGGGCAAAGTCTTGTAAGTTATCTGGGCTTGGCTTGAACTTGTGCTTCTCCTGCCTCAGCCTCCCCAGTAGCTGGGATTACAGGTGGCACCACGATGCCACTGGAGAGCCAGTACCTCCTGGACATGTGTCAGAGACTTCTAAGCCCTGTCAGGTACCCTGGCCACTCTTCTCTTGAGTCTCTAGGTGGAGAAGGCCTTTCCAGAGAGAAGAGCGTTCACAGTAATGGAGTTTCACATACACAGGAGAGACCAGTATGACCGCAGTTCGATCTCGTCCTCCCACCTGAAACTTGATCTCCAGCCAACGAGCAAGCTTTTGTTGTTTTCTGCTGCCCTTATTACCAGCGAACGCCTAAGGTCCCCTGGGCCCCAGTGAATCCTGATCTGCCAGCCTCCTCCTGCTCCCTATACCAAGATGTCCTTGGCTAGAGGGACAGGACATGGACACCTCGTGTGCAGCTGGTCATTCTACCCACAGTCACACCCTGGGCTTAGCTTGAAAAGAGTCCAGACTCAGCAAAGGGAGTGAAGCTGCATGACCCAGCCTGATCTTGGGCAGCCATCCCTGAGTCCCTGTAGGAAAGCGCATGGCTGTCTGATGGGTGAGGCCACAGCCTCACAAGGCAGTGGCGAAATGCTGTGGTGAGCACAAGGGTGACTCGGGGGGCGGGCCGAGATGCGGCTAGAGGAGACCTGGGTCTCTCTGACCTGCAGTCCACCCAAGCAAATAAGAGAATATACATGAGTATACAAATTGAGCTACAGAGGGAAACTATCACATCAATAAGGCTGCTATTTTTAAATGTTAGACAGGAGATAAGGTAGGGTTTTGACAGAATTACTCTGAGATAGCGGTGGAGAAGGGAGAAGGGAGACCCTCCATCCTCCTGGGGATCGCAGTCAGTTCATTAAATGAGCCATTGTCACTGCAGTGAGCTCCGCAAAGGAAGAAGCCTGGACAGAGGCACGGAACCTCCTTAGCCTGGGCTCTGGACTTTTTTGGGGAGCTGGTGCCTAAGCAGCAGCCTGAAGGATGAGCTGGGTTAGCAGGCATGAGGCAAGCAGCACGCAGGACCTCGAGCAGGGAGGAATTAGGAGGAGCTGAAAGGAAGCCCCTGTGGCTCGGGTTTAGGGTCCATGGGGAGCTGGGGAATCGGCAGCGCTCCAGTGCAGAACCTGGGTTCTGGAAGCAGCTCTGTGAGGTTCAAGGACACACCAAGGGCATTAGGTTGTATCTTTAGTTTGTGTTTATAACACATCCCTCTGGCAACAGGCACCCTGGAGGTCCAGGCGAGATGCTAGTGCTTGGTGTGAGCCCTGGGGACCTAGGGACGGGCAGAACTCGATGGACATAAGGTGAATATGGAGGTAGGACTGGTAGGACCTGGTGACCGATTGGCTGTGGACACAGTGATGTGCAGAACGGCAGGGACAAGACGGGGCTAAGGCCCTAGCGAAAATCACCAGCAGACAGAGGGCACTTTTTTGGATGTGAGCATGCTCAGACACAGCTATGAAAGTAACAGGCGAAGACCAACAGCAGACCCAGAAATGGGTAAAGGACAGAGGGTGTGCACTTCCTAGCAGAAGAGATGGTTACCAAGAAATGTAAGAAAATGCATTTATCTTTCAGAGATGTAGGTTAAAATAACAAGCCACCTTTCATCTATTATACAGGTAGAGGAAAGAATCACAGTGTCACCTAATATTGATGAAAGCAAGAGGGGTTGGCAGGTTCATCACTTCCGGAAGAAATTTAGAAATGATACACGGTCTTTTGTGGATGGTAGTTATAAATTTTTAGTTTATTTTTTATTTTTCAAATTTTTAAAAATGCTAAGAAATATAGTCTAAATACATACAAAAGGGGTCTGGGGAGAAAACTCAGTAGAATAAGTGCTTGCCTGGCAAGCACAGGGCCCTGAGTTCAATTCCCAGTGCCACAAAAAAAAAAAAAAAAAAAAAAAAAAAAAAAGGAATGGTCAAAATATATGTTGAATGTTTGAATTCTTTAAAAATATTTATTACAGTAAAAGACACATGGCCATTTAATCCCCCTCAAAAATATGCCCCCTCTTTACCACTATGTGATGCAACTCAAATCCTCTTTCATAAATGGCTTTAGAAGAAACGATTAAAAAAAAAAATACAGTGAATGTTCCTGCCAAGCGCCATCTGCAGAAAGGCAGGCCTGCTCGTTACGCATCTCCGCGAGTCCTTCTCTGCCTCACTCATTGTATCTAGCGCCGTGTGGCTTCTCACTGCTTCCTTAAGCCAGAATGTTTTGAATTAATTCAGGCCATTAGGGACACTGTGACAGCACAACTGAAGACCTTCTGAAAGAAGACTACCAGAGCTGCTTCAGAAAGTGGCAGGCGCGATGAGAGGTGTGCTCAAAGCCAGGGGCAGTGTTGGGAGGGTTCTGATGGCAATGCAATAGAAAAAGTATTTAAACCCACTGTATTTTTCAATCACATCTCATAATCAAGCAATCATGCAAGGAATAGCTACAAAATATAAAGTCTTTACACTAATGAAAGCTTGGGAATGATCTATACATCCATTAGTGGGGTACTAATTATATCTATATCTAACCATTTAACGATATTGTTTTACTAAATTTAAAATAGATTAAAAGTTATATGGATACACTGATCCTATTTTGTAAAGTATCCAAATATTATCATGTGGTTGTATGAGCATTCTTTAACAGGCCTACAAAAGGAAACATATTTAAAATGAGATGGTGGTGAGTTATAATTGCATTTAGTATATTTGCATAAATACAAAAAGAAGAGGACGCCTAAGTGCAGGTTGGCAGGCTGTAGTAGGCACGTAGGGGTTCTGGCTCTGCCTGGCGTGAGGAGGGTTGTGGGTTGGGGGCAGGAGCCAGGGTCTGCCCAGCTTGGTAGCTCATGCTTAGTGTAGAAATGAAAACCCATGTGTGAGGGAGGTCTAAGCCTCTTCTACAGGCTGTTCCGCCTGTGTGTTCTCTGGTCATAAAAAATTCATGCCAATTAATTTTAAGCCAGAGGACAGGAAGTGGAAGCTCAGAGCTTTAGAAAGGCTACTCTCTGTGCAGCAGCTTCAGTCAGCATGCACCATGGTCATGTTGCCACCTTTTCCTTCTTCCCTGGCGGCTGGGATCGTGTCCTTGTATGCAGTGCCAACGGTGTGCCTCAGTATTATGTTTCCAGCTCCTGCTATTTCCTTGGTTACTATCTTGGATCTTTGAATGAAGAATCGCTTTCATTTCACATTTTTCTAAACTTGGTTTTAGAAATTCTGCAGCTTTTTCCCAAAATGCCCTTTTGGGAAGTTAAATAGGTATTGATGCAATCTACTCGCTTCATGGACAAGCTGACAGGGTAACAGAATGGGGTAGCCCCGCCTTGATTTCAGTATGGAGCCTACTTAGCATCCAGATGCCAGAGAATTGCACATTTGGGGTCAGAGGAGAGGCAGGGGGAAGACAGCGCGCAGGGGGCACTGGGGCCAGGGCTAGGGCCAGCTTCCTCAGGTCACTTGCTTTGTGATCTCAGGCAACTCTCTGATGTGTGTCAGGTATGAGGTGCTTTGTGTTTTCAGCTTTGAAATATGACAGCCTTAGATTCCGAGATTGCCACATAGGGAGGGACCTTCATGCAGCCCCCCGAAGTGCAGTGAGGGCACAGCTAGGGGCTGCATAGTTCATGCATGAACACTTTAAATTTCACAGCTTGTTTATTTTAGTGAGTATTACATACTCATGCAGAGATGCAGCATGTCAGACCTGCGGTCGCATAGATATTTGTGTGTAGAATGGCCAGAAGTACAAACTCCTCTAGCATCTGCACAATCCATTTATTATAAGGTTGCCCTTCACTAGGCCATGCAGAGAAAAGGCACAAAAAGCTGCAGAAAAGTTTTCAAAAATCCTTTAAAAATGAAGTTAAGAAAAAAAAAATGAATAGATTAGGAAAAAGGATGTAGGGGAACAACAGGTGGGTCTAGCAGCAGTTGGTGCCCAAGTCACCGTTGCAGGCCTTTGCTGGTTCCCGGGCTTTCGCCTAGCTTCCTCCGCCGTCAGAAGCTCCCGGGGTGGTCCTGAGGACCCTGCGTGAGGCTGTAGGCGCCCAGCTCAGAAGCTGTCGCGTGGTAAGGGCTCACATGTGTGAGTTTCCTTTTCCACAGCCCCTTCTTCGCAAGTTCACGGGAGTGCCTGTGATAGGCTGGCCCCGTGTCCTTAGTTATGGCATGAAGTGATAGGTCCAGACTGGGAAAAGACCAGAGCGGGGGCTCGAGCTGCCTGCGCCTCTCTCTGCTGGCGGAGACCTACAGATGGGTCTGAAAAGTGGTCGAGCAACTGACAAGTACAACAGATGAAACAAAATGGAGGGGGAGGGGAGAGAAGGGGCGAGGGCCCGGACTAGGCCTGGGGGAGGAGAGGGCAGCCCAATCTGCTGAGCGCTTCTGAATCTGCGCATCTGGATAGCGAGCTGTACCCAGCTCTGGACATAATGGTAAACTCTGTTTAGAAGAACAAAACAGATGGGAAATACCACCGAATATTCCAAGCAAGTGTGTTGCGGTCATGGCGCCTGCCTTTGCTCCTCTCTTCTTACTGTTCTCACCAGCTTTTTCTGTATGTTGCCAGTTATGGAAAATAGGAAGTACCAGAACGCTTGGAAGGTTGAATGTTCTGTACCAAGAATTGAGTATGACTATCATCCATGCTCGACACATCACTGTTAATAATCGTGCCTAATTTTTATGGTCCCACTTCCTTTTCCGAACAGTTCCCTTGCAGCCCTGAACATTGACGATCTCCTCAGTCACACAGAATCATAAATAGTGGGTCACCAAAATGAGGTAGCAGATTGGTGGTGCGCTGTAGGCCCGGGGACTCAGGAGACTGACGGTGATTGTCTTCTTGTTTTGCAGATGGAAAAACTGAGACTCAGAGAAGGCTAGTGATCTCCGGGCTACTGGATTGGCAGGTAAGTCGTGCTGAACGTGAGCCTGAAACGAGATCCTTCTCAGCCCCATGACCTCGCCTCCGCCAGACTCGCCGGCCCCAGTCTGGGGACTTTTCTGTTTTGCACAGTTCAAGGAACAAATGAACTAGTTTGAGGCGTTGGGTATTATTTACACTGTGGTTTCTGTTTGTTCCTATCCTTGAGTCGGAATGTTTAGCCAGTGAGTTTGTACACAATTTGTAGGCATTTCTCTGGGCATGGCAGGGCCCATTACAGCCTGGCCCATGCTGCGGCTGGTACGACACTCAGTCACTGTCCTTGACTCTGGTGGCTCTGGCACGAAGAGTCCTGAGCTGGGGCCCAGGTACTTGGGCTCAGGCCCCCAGTGACTACCTGCCTGCTCTGTGACTTCCGGCCAGCCACTTCACCCCAGGTTTGCTCACTCTGCATTCGTTCTTTCAGACTGTTTTCCCCAGAATATCAATGCTAAGGGATGTGCTAGGCTCTGGGCATGACACAGCACAGGCTCTGCCTTGAGGAGTGTGCGGCCCAGTCACGAGCTCTTCCACCCCTTGTTACTGTCTCATACGAACTTCTCACATCTGCTATGGAGTTTGTGCCCTGGAGCGTGTTTTGTGATCTTTCCAAGACTCTGTAACATGGAAAAAAGTGGCTACTGTCGTTCCACAGAGGAGGAGCCGTAGCTCAGAGCTGCTGGGGTCATCTCTTGATTGAGGACCGGGGCTCGACTTAGCTCTGCTAGCCCCAAAGCTGCCACTCCCCAGTGTGGGGAGCTGTTCCACCTGGTGTTCATCAAGTGTGCTGACTCCTCCCCTTCAGCAGTGAGTGTGATGTTGTCCAACGGGGCGCTGGGTGGAGCCCACACAGATACACGCCCTGCGTGGGCTTTCTTCCTGGGTCTAGTGACTGGTGTGGACACTGTGACTTTCTCTGCCTGGATACAGGCAGCCATGGGCTTTTGCCAATGTAAAAGCCAGAAGGAAGCCTGCCAAGGGCCAAAGCTGCCTCCTCCTCCAAGTGGCAGGGATTTAGCACATCAGAAAGAATCCACCATGCACTGGGCTGAGGGACGCAGCTCCCTTCTTGTCAGTGACCCTGCTATAAAGGCTGTTGCTTCCCGCCAAAGCCGCCTTGGACTGTGAGGCTGGCTGGTAGCTTCTGCCTTTGGTGAGCAGCCTTGCCTGGGGTGCAGCAGGTAGAGAACAACAGGGATTAGAGGCCAACAGGGATTAGAGGCCGTGCTGTTTGTTTGCGTGCCGAGCAACTCCTCGCAGCCGTCGGTGGAGCTCTTGTGTTCCCTCAAAGTCTGGAATTTCAAAGGGGGCGTGAATAACCTCGGGACAAGCCCTGGGTTTTCTGTTCCACAGCATGTGTGTGTGGTGAATGGCGGCTCCCTGGATATACATGTACCAACACGCACGCCTACGTGTAGCGTCCAGGATGTGCAGGGCTTGTGTGGAATGTCACCAGCTGTGAGGCTTGTGAAGAATCCCTGAGTGTGCTTGTGCACACGTGTGTAACCCAGCAAAGCAGTTCTTGTGAATAAAGAAAACAGTTCTGGTGGAGTTTTTTCAACAGGACCCCAAAATGGGTTTTTAGTAAGTCTCATTGAACGCTTTGATGACAGGAGGGTGGCTGATCCTTGATTCTGGCTGGGGCTCTCAGCTCTCCCTTGCCCTCGTGTTGGGGCCAGATAAAGACGCTGCTCTCCCTGAGGCCCCCCTCCTGCTCCCTGCGCAAGGCCGCCCAGCCCAGCCCAGCGCGGCATGATCTGTCCATCTGGATGTCTAAGTAGTTGTGCTGGTGTTGGGCTGACAGCCGGTGGCTGTCACACGCCTGGAACCTGAGCACCCCAGGTCGTGAGCTGTGCCAGCAGGGAGCTTTAGGCCTTTGTTCATGAGGAACTCTGGGCTGGGAATTCTGGGGCTCCTTCGTTTCCCTGGGAGTCCTGCGGGGCTGCAGCTGCCCAGCAAGCCCTTTCCTGCATGGGTTGGGTTTCCCCTTGTCCGACACCGGAGGAGCTGAAGCCCTGCTGAAAGGCAGGTTTCACCCCAGCGGCAAGCGTGGTGTCAGGCTCCTGAGCAGAGCGGGTTCCCAGAGTGATTATCTTTCCTGAGCCGAGAGCCAGGTGCTTGGCGACAGGAAGCAGGCAGGCTGGGCGACAGACTGAGCAGGCTGCTCCTTGGTGTAGACAGAGTGGGTTTGTGCAGCACTGCCCCTCCCTGCGCCCCAACTCGGTCCTGGACTGGTGTGCTCCAGTTTGCTCTGTTCTGTCCCTGAGGCGATACGCTTCTGTTCCTGCTCCTCCACAGGTCTGCAAGGCCTGAGTGTCTAGGAGACAACCACTGTTTGCGATCCGCAGAGAAACCACCGGCCACAGGCAGCTGGCTGAGGCGCCTGTGCCTCCAGGTTACACAGGCCGGCTCTCCATGTGGGGCCACACATGGCCTTCTGTCGAGCCGATCTGCCGGATGTCTTCGCATAGGTCGCTGCAAACTGTTGTGGAAGGCGTATCTAGGAGAGCGCTGCTCAGTCAAAGACAGGGAGGAACTGAAATCCAGCCTGTGTTCGGTGGCCACACTGAGTGTCTGGCCTGGCTGCACCTGCCCAGGAGAAAAGGTGTCTTTCCCCAGTTCACAGAGGTAGTAACGGGACTAGAGGTGGCCCTGCCTCTTTTGGCCTCAGTTTCGTCACATTTGGGTGTAGGAGGAATTGCTGAGAATCCTTAAGGTGTACCTGACAGAGACATAACAGCTGTCATTAGCAGTCGTGGTAACGATGTCAGGAATGATAATGCACATTTTTGTAGTACTTCAGGTTTTTCCACGCGCTTTTACATTTGATTCTTTCAGCAACCCTCCACTAAAGAGCAGGACTAGGTTTCCACTCCCGATTGAGATAAGGAAACTGGGATACAGAGAAATGGATGTGACTTGTCTTTTGTCTGCCCCTAAGGACCCGCCTGGAGCCGGCAGAGCCATCCTGGCTGAGATGTGAGGGCGGCTTGGGAATTGCTGTGCATCAGCCCTGCCACACCCCGAGGGTGCCCTGCCTGGCCTTGGACCTCAAAACCACCCAGCTGACCCCAGCCCTGACCCCAGCCTTCCACATGCCCCGATCACCCTTTCTACGCCAGTTCAGCGTTACTGGCCAATAGGCGTGTGTTACACACGCAGTGTGTGCAAGGCACTCTGGTAACAGGCTATTTGTTTTCTCAAAGATATGTCCTTTTTCACAATGAGATAACAAGGCAGCAAAGAAGTGAATTAACATGCCCAAGATCTCATGATTATTTAGTGATAATGCTGAGATTTGAAGCCAGGTATTTGGACTAGAAAAGTTACACGTTTGACTTGTATAAAGTGCATAGCAATGACTAGGAAAAATGGTTCTCATTGATTAGTGGTAGTTTTAAAAAAAAGAATCATTAGTAAAACACTGTGCTGCATGCCGACTGTTGGTTTTTCTGTGCTCCTCTCCACTGGACTAGGAGGTTCTGGACGGTAGCCCTACTCCTAGCAGAGGACATAGCGGTCTGTAGCCCCGGATTCATAAATATTAACACCGAATGATTAACGGTGTCAGTACAAAGCAAATCCCCGGGTCTGCACCGAGGCCTGCTAAGTGCTTTCTGCGTTGTGTCCTGCATTGCCTAATCCTGGGGTAGGTGCTGAGCCTGAGCAGTGGGTGAGACCATCTCAGCACCCTGTGACTGTCGCAGCATGGGCCCACGGAAGCCTAGAGGGGGCGTATGGGCTCAAGCGACCGCCGTCAGGCCCCAGAGTGCCTGAGGTGACAGATGTGCCGCTGTGCCAGGCTTTCCGGTAGCGTCTCGGTGTGGTGCATAGATGTGGCCACACCTTCCAGCGAAAGCTGAGCCCTTGTAACGGCGCTATCTTACAGTGACCCTTGTGTCATAAGTAGAAGCGTACTTTGAAATCGTGATAAAAGGCATGGTACAGTAGACACATAAGCCAGCAACACATTCGTTTATTGCCATAATCAAACAGTATGCGCTGTACATAATAATATGTGCTATACTTTCATGTGACTGGCAGCATAAGAGATTTGTTTACACCAATGTTCCCGTAAACACATGAGTGATGCAGTGAGCTATAATGTGGCGGTAACTAGGTCACTAGGCAATAAGAAGTTTTCGACTCCATTCAGATTTGTTCTCTTCTTCCCCTTTTTATTAGCATATGTTTGTGGTACATGCATAGTGAATACACCCACCGTGGGGAATGGGCGTGCATGCGTGTGGGACTCCGGCTGTACATGCTGTCAGTAACCAAAACTGTAAGGACACATACCTACATTATTTTGTTTAATATTCATAGCTGCCCTGCAAGACAGACACTATTATTAGCATCATGTTACACCAGAGCAGGAAGCTCCAAGAGTTTCCGGTCGCTTTCCCTGTGTACACCTGGGAAACAGCACAGCAGGGAAGGCCACCTGCGGGCTGATGCCAGGTTGGTGCCCCAAGGATGTCTTATCTCTGTCAGATGCACTGGGATCCCAGGTGTCATTGACCACTCCCCAGCCCCGGCTGATGCCACGCTCCTTCAGCGAGTTCCCAGGATGCTGTCACTCCGTTTCAGGGTCTGGTATTTCACCCATGTCCATGTATAAGTGACGAACCTGTAAGAGATGGGAAGCGTGGTGATGTGTGAAAGCGTGAGGAGCCACTGGTAATGTTAGCCCCAAGGGCATCTTTCAGGGAGAGTAGGGGCAAGTTGTAGGGTCCATGTGAAAGCGAGGTCACCTGCAAGGGGCACAGTTTTTGAGATACATTGGAGAATGGCGGAGAAGTGTTGGAGTGACTTTCTCTGGAGTATTCTTGGACTTGGAAAATGTACTCCAGTGAGCTCCCTGGTGGGTGAGGCCAGGCAAAAGGGGGAGCAAGGTTTGGGTGTCTTGATCTCACAAAGACTTTCCTTCTAGAACCTTTCCGAAAGATGTCAGGAACTAGTGACTCATTTCATCATGTGGAACTT